ATAAGATACCTCAGTATGACTCCCTGATAAAATAAAGGTTATTAAGATACCTCAGTATGACACCCTGATAAATAAAGGTTAATTAAGATAAGTATGACAAACGCTTGCATACCGAAATACATAAAGCCAGTACACACTCGGCTACCTGTCACAGGACCTCTAACCCTTGTCAAATAAAATGTTAAAGACTACCACAGTATGACTCTCTCTGTACCCGCACGGAAAGCGTTACGGAATCATGCTGGGACAAAAGGTATGGACGGCTTCTACCCCTAAGCCATAAGACTGCTGAACCACAACTTGTTAGGAAAATGTGGCGCCGGACATTTGACCGGCAACCATTTTAATTTATTTGGATAGATTTACTGGACCCATATGCGCGTAACCTGATTAGGGCGACCACCCACAGTGCTCAGAATGACAGAAATAACATTTAGGTTACGGCAATTCATATTAACAGAATATGCAAGTCGAGGATGCAACGATGTGCGGTCCTTCTTAACGAATTCTGATGCATACTTTGAAGACGTTAGAATAACTGTCAAGATTTACTTTTCCTCAGCCAACAAGACGAGTAACGAACAGCAAAATCACTAGCCTACGTCAAACTACTATCCCCAATAGTAGAAAAGTTAACCTATTTTATTGGTCAACTTGTCGAGAAAGAAATCGCCTATTCCAAAACAGACTCTTAGTTATGGGACGATAGATCATCCAACCAGTAGGCCTCGGCTACAGAAAAATACAACTAAAAGGAGTCTGATGAAACAGATCAGAACATTTAGCTTAAAAAATGTTGAAACATTATTATGTCTTCACATTATAAGCTCAGCAATGAGCACAAGGCAGCAGGCCCACGTTCCATAACACATCATCCCCGTGTGGCTCAGTTGGTAGAGCTTGCAACGACAGAGTTGTGGGTTTCGATTCCCACGGGGGACCAGTTCGAAAAAAAAGTATGCACTCACTACTGTAAGTAGCTCTGGATAAGAGCGTCTGCTAAATGAAGTAAATTAGCGGGAAAACACAGTTGTCAAAAGCGCACCTCACAAGCGAGCGGTTTCACTTGACAGATGAAAATATCAGTTTGAAATTTTGAAAGAGGGGATATCTAATATACAACAACTAGCATGGGGTTGCTAATATGACTAGGATTGGGCCTTTGGCTACTGGACAACGAAAGAAAGTTGATATAAAATAGATTTCCACCAAGGATATGGGGTGATTTTTGGCTAGGCTACTTTGAAGCAAGCTAAGACATGTAGCAAAACATTCAGGTTTCAAACAATGAAGTACGTTTTCAGAACGCCTCCCGCCTCCAGCTCACTGCAGAGTGGTGTGTGACGTGCTGATGAAGCCTGCCTTCCGTTGACTATGCATTTGCTGTTGGAGATGCTGTGTGGCAGACTTTCCACTCAAAAGGCTCTGTATCTGTACGCTAACCGGACTATTTGCATTGACCCCCGTGTTTTTTTTGCACTGACATTCTTGCACTAGTTCTATGCACACTCACTGGACTCCACACACACACACACACACACACACACACACACACACACAATGCTGCTACTGTATTATCTATCCTGATTGCCTTTTACCCGTAGTTACCACCTAGTTACCCCATAGTTACCTACATGTATATTGCCTTCAGAAATTATTAATATCCCTTGACTTCCACATTTTGTTGTGTCACAGCCAGAATTCTAAATGGATTACCTTCGATTTTTTCTCGCCCATCTACATACCATACCCCATAAAGACAAGGTGAAAGAAAGAACATTTGGGGGAAACTTTTGCAAATGTATTGAAAATGAAATAGGGAAATATGTAATTGACATAAGTATGTTGGAACCGGTACTCCTCGTATGTAGCCTTGTCATTGTTATTTGCTCATCTTTTTTTTACTTTTTAACTCTGCGTTGTTCGGAAAGGGGCTCGTAAGGAAGCATTTCACGGTAAAGTCCGCACCTGTTGTATTCGGCGCATGCGACATAAAATGTTATTGGATTCATTACGGTCGACAGTTTTAGTACTCATCACTGCATTCTCTACCAGAAAGCTGGTTGGCCCTCTGATATCACGTACAGTCAGGGGGAAAAAAGTATTTGATCCCCTGCTGATTTTGTACGTTTGCCCACTGACAAAGACATGATCAGTCTATAATTTTAATGGTAGGTTTATTTGAACAGTGAGAGACAGAATAACAACAACAACAAAATCCAGAAAAACGCATGTCAAAATTTTTTATAAATTGATTTGCATTTTAATGAGGGAAATAAGTATTTCACCCCTCTGCAAAACATGACTTAGTACTTGGTGGCAAAACCATTGTTGGCAATCACAGAGGTCAGACATTTCTTGTAGTTGGCCACCAGGTTTGCACACATCTCAGGGAGGGATTTTGTTCCACTCCTCTTTGCAGATCTTCTCCAAGTCATTAAGGTTTCGAGGCTGACGTTTGGCAACTCAAACCTTCAGCTCGCTCCACAGATTTTCTATAGGATTAAGGTCTGGAGACTGGCTAGGCTACTCCAGGACCTTAATGTGCTTCTTCTTGAGCCACTCCTTTGTTGCCTTGGCCGTGTGTTTTGGGTCATTGTCATGCTGGAATACCCATCCACGACCCATTTTCAATGCCCTGGCTGAGGGAAGGAGGTACTCACCCAAGATTTGACGGTACATGGCCCCGTCCATTGTCCCTTTGATGCTGTGAAGTTGTCCTGTCCCCTTAGTAGAAAAACACCACCAAAGCATAATGTTTCCACCTCCATGTTTGACGGTGGGTATGGTGTTCTTGGGGTCATAGGCAGCATTCCTCCTCCTCCAAACACGTCGAGTTGAGTTGATGCCAAAGAGCTCGATTTTGGTCTCATCTGACCACAACACTTTCACCCAGTTCTCCTCTGAATCATTCAGATATTCATTGGCAAACTTCAGACGGGCCTGTATATGTGCTTTCTTGAGCAGGGGGACCTTGCGGGCACTGCAGGATTTCAGTCCTTCACAGCGTAATGTGTTACCAATTGTTTTCGCACCAACTGTTGTCACCTTCTCACCAAGCTGCTTGGCGATGGTCTTGTAGCCCATTTCAGCCTTGTGTAGGTCTACAATCTTGTCCCTGACATCCTTGGAGAGCTCTTTGGTCTTGGCTATGGTGGAGAGTTTGGAATCTGATTGATTGATTGCTTCTGTGGACAGGTGTCTTTTAAACAGGTAACAAGCTGAGATTAGGAGCACTCCCTTTAAGAGTGAGCTCCTAATCTCAGCTCGTTACCTGTATAAAAGACACCTGGGAGCCAGAAACCTTTCGGATTGAGAGGGGATCAAATACTTATTTCACTCACACAATTTATAACATTTTTGACATGCGTTTTTCTGTTTTTTTGTTGTTGTTATTCTGTCTCTCACTGTTCAAATAAAACTACCATTCAAATTATAGACTGATCATTTCTTTGTCAGTGGGCAAACGTACAAAATCAGCAGGGGATCAAATACTTTTTCCCCCCTCACTGTAGGTTGATACATTGCTGTGTTATCATTTATAAAGCCCTTTTACAAAAACTCCCACTGTTCCTAACATCAATTCTAACCTTTAGATATGAGCTGCCGCACCCGGTCTCAGGGATGGCTAACTCTGGAAAATTCCTTCTGTCCGTACTGAGTTAGGTGAATCCGTTTTTTTCCCTACCGTATTTGTGGAACAATCTTTAAAACTGTTCTTAAAATGTGATGTTTTGGTGCCTCTAGGGCAACTCCGAAAGCTGATTGAGGACCTTATTACTGATGAATGAGTTTGTTCTTTATGACTGTGTTTTTCTTTCTACTTGCATTTCTGTAATTCAGGGCTCATCTGTAAGAGAGACGTTGGTCTCAGTATGACTCCCTGATAAAATAAAGGTTAAATAAGATACCTCAGTATGACACCCTGATAAAATAAAGGTTAAATAAGATACCTCAGTATGACTCCCTGATAAAATAAAGGTTAAATAAGATACCTCAGTATGACGCCCTGATCAAATAAAGGTTAATTAAGATACCTCAGTATGACACCCTGATAAAATAAAGGTTAAATAAGATACCTCAGTATGACTCCCAGATAAAATAAAGGTTAAATAAGATACCTCAGTATGACTCCCTGATAAAATAAAGGTTAAATAAGATACCTCAGTATGACTCCCTGAAAAAATAAAGGTTAAATAAGATACCTCAGTATGACGCCCTGATCAAATAAAGGTTAATTAAGATACCTCAGTATGACACCCTGATAAAATAAAGGTTAAATAAGATACCTCAGTATGACTCCCTGATAAAATAAAGGTTAAATAAGATACCTCAGTATGACTCCCTGATAAAATAAAGGTTAAATAAGATACCTCAGTATGACACCCTGATAAAATAAAGGTTAATTAAGATACCTCAGTATGACTCCCTGATAAAATAAAGGTTAAATAAGATACCTCAGTATGACTCCCTGATGAAATAAAGGTTAAATAAGATACCTCAGTATGACTCCCTGATAAAATAAAGGTTAAATAAGATACCTCAGTATGACACCCTGATAAAATAAAGGTTAAATAAGATACCTCAGTATGACTCCCTGATAAAATAAAGGTTAAATAAGATACCTCAGTATGACTCCCTGATGAAATAAAGGTTAAATAAGATACCTCAGTATGACTCCCTGATAAAATAAAGGTTAATTAAGATACCTCAGTATGACTCCCTGATAAAATAAAGGTTAATTAAGATACCTTTATTAACCTTGTAGAGAACCAGGACATAAAGAGGATATTGTTTGGGAGTGGGCCAATTTCTATCATGTATGAATAGAGGACGGTGTCACCAAACCCGGAATTCCTGATTAAATCAGGATAATTTTTAAAAATCCCCACCCTGACAGAGGGAGAGTTTGATGTTGCTCCCAGGTCTCTCCAGATTGTATCTCAGTGAGAACAACCTGTTTAAACGAAAGACTAAATGACGATGATGGGACGGCTAACCTTTCTCATCTGGTGGTCGATCATGACGTTGTGTGGTTTGACATCCCTGTGCATGATCCCCATGCTATGGCAGTGGTCCAGAGCCTGTAGGAGACGAGACAACACAGCGGAACACGCATTAGTCTAGAATACACAGTCTCTATCTGAAGACTCTCTCCAGGCCGTCTTGCACACAAAAAAAAAAATAGTCAATGGAAAACAATTGAAGCCAAATTATTTGAAGTGGGATGCAACAGAGCCAAGTATGGGGGAACCTGCCAACTTCCCTTACCTTGAGAAGCTCGTACACGTAGAAACGAATATCAAAGTCTGTTAACTTCTGGTAAAGCTCCTGTGAATGAGATTAAACAAAAAGGTTAACTACAGTGCATTCGGGAAAGTATTCATACCCCTTCACTTTTTCCACATTTTGTTACATAACAGCCTTATTCTAAAATGGATTAAAGAAAAAAAAAAGTCCTCAATCTACACACAACACCCCATAATGACAAAGCGAAAACAGGTTTTTAAAAATATTGGCAAATGTAATATATATATATTTGTTAAATGCCTTATTTACATAAGTATTCAGACCCTTTGCTATGAGACTCGAAATTGAGCTCAGGTGCATCCTGTTTCCATTGATCATCCTTGAGATGTTTCAAAAAACTTGATTGAGTCCACCTGTGGTAAATTCAATTGACTGGACAAGATTTGGAAAGGCACACACCTGTCTATATACAGTGCCTAGCTAAATAATTCATCCCCCTTGGTGTTTTTCCTATTTTGTTGCATTACAACCTGTAATTTAAATGGATTTTTATTTGGATTTCATGTAATGGACACAAAAGAGTCTAAATTGGTGAAGTGAAAAAAATTGTTGTTTCAAAAAATTATAAAAAATTAATAACGGAGAAGTGGTACGTGCATACGTATTCACCCCCTTTGCTATGAAGCCCCTAAATAAGATCTGGTGCAACCAATTACCTTCAGAAGTCACACAATTAGTTAAATAAAGTCCACCTGTGTGCAATATAAGTGTCTGCAACACCAGTAAGCAAGGGACACCACCAAGCAAGCGGCACCATGAAGACCAAGGAGCTCTCCAAACTTGTCAGGGACAAAGTTGTAGAGAAGTACAGATCAGGGTTGGGTTATAAAAAAATATCTGAAACTTTGAACATCCCACGGAGCACCATTAAATCCATTATTAAAAAATGGAAAGAATATGGCACCAAAACAAACCTGCCAAGAGAGGGCCCCCAACCAAAACTCACGGACCAGGCAAGGAGGGCATAATCAAAGAGGCAACAAAGAGACCAAAGATAACCCTGAAGGAGCTGCAAAGCTCCACAGCGGAGATTGGAGTATCTGTCCATAGGACCACTTTAATCCGTACACTCCATAGAGCTGGGCTTTACGGAAGAGTGACCAGAAAAAAGCCATTGCTTAAAGAAAAAAATAAGCAAACACGTTTGGTGTTTGCCAAAAGGCATGTGGGAGACTCCCCAAACATATGGAAGAAGGTACTCTGGTCAGATGAGACAAAAAATTGAGCTTTTTGGCCATCAAGGAAATTGCTATGTCTGGCGCAAACCCACCACCTCTTATCACACCGACAACACCATCACCACAGTGAAGCACAGTGGTGGCAGCATCATGCTGTGGGGATGTTTTTCATCGGCAGGGACTGGGATACTGGTCAGAATTTAAGGAATGATGGATGGCGCTAAATACAGGGACATTCTTGAGGGAAACCTGTTTCAGTATTCCAGAGATTTGAGACTGGGACGGAGGTTCAACTTCCAGCAGGACAATGACCCTAAGCATACTACTAAAGCAACACTTGAGTGCTTTAAGGGGAAACATTTAAATGTCTTGGAATGGCCTAGTCAAAGCCCAGACCTCAATTCAATTGAGAATCTGTGGTATGACTTAAAGATTGCTGTACACCAGCGGAACCCATCCAACTTGAAGGAGCTGGAGCAGATTTTCCTTGAAGAATGGGCAAAAATCCCAGTGGCTAGATGTACCAAGCTTATAGAGACATACCCCAAGATACTTACAGCTGTAATTGCTGCAAAAGGTGGCTCTACAAAGTATTGACTTTGAGGGGGAGTTATACACGCTCAATTTCTGTTTTTTTTGTCTTATTTCTTGTTTGTTTCACAATAAAAAAGATTTTGCATCTTCAAAGTGGTAGGCATGTTGTATAAATCAAATGATACAAACCCCCAAAAAATCCATTTTAATTCCAGGTAAGGAAACAAAATAGGAAAAATGCCAAGGGGAGTTGAATACTTTCGCAAGCCACTGTAAGGTCCTACAGTTGACAGTGCATGTCAGAGCAAAAACCAAGCCATGGGGGTCGAAGGAATTGTCCGTAGAGCTCCGAGACAGGATTGTGTCAAGGCACAGATCTGGGGAAGGGTACCAAAACAGTTCTGCAGCATTGAAGGTCCCCAAGAACACAGTGGTCTCCATCATTCTTAAATGAAAGAAGTTTAGAACCACCAAGACTCTTCCTAGAGCAATCGGGGGAGAAGGGCCTTGGTCAGGGAGGTGACCAAGAACCTGATCGTCACTCTGACAGAGCTCCAGAGTTCCTCTGTGGAGGTGGGATAACCTTCCAGAAGGAAAACCATCTCTGCAGCACTCCACCAGGCACATGACAGCCCACTTTGAGTATGCGAAAAGGCACCTAAAGACTCTCAGACCATGAGAAACTAGATTATTTGGTCTGATGAAACCAAGATTGAACTTTTTGGCCTGAATGCCAAGCGTCACGTCTAGAGGAAACCTGGCACCATCCCTATGGTGAAGCATGATGGTGGCAGCATCATGCTGTGGGGATGTTTTTCAACGGCAGGGACTGGGAGACTAGTCAGGATCGAGGGAAAGATGAACGGAGCAAAGTACAGAGAGATCCTTGGTGAAAACCTGCTCCAGAGCGCTCAGGACCTCAGACTGAGGCAAAGGTTCACCTTCCAACAGGACAACCACCCTAATCACACAGCCAAGACAACACAGGAGTTGCTTTGGGACAGGTCTCTGAATGTTCTTGAGTGGCCCAGCCAGAGCCCAGACTTGAACCTGATCGAACATCTCTGTAAAGACCTGAAAATAGCTGTGCAGCGACGCTCCCTATCCAACCTGAGCTTGAGAGGATCTGCAGAGAAGAATGGGAGAAACTCCCCAAATACAGGTGTGCCAAGCTTGTAGCGTCATACCCAAGAAGACTCAAGGCTGTAATCACTGCCAAAGGTGCTTCATCAAAGTACTGAGTAAAGGGTCTGAATACTTATGTAAATGTGATATTTCAGATTATTAAAAAAAAAACATTTCTAAACACCTGTTTTTGTTTTGTCATTATGGGGTATTGTGTGTAGATTGATGAGGGGGGGAACACATGTTTTAATCCATTTTAGAATAAGGCTGTAACGTAAAGAAATGTGGGAAAAGTAAAGGGGTCTGAATTCTTTCCGAATGGACTGTACTTTCAAAATGTTTACCTATTAAAGTGAAAAGTATTTGTTATATGATATCAGTATATTTCCATGTCTGTTAACGTTTCAAACACACAACTACCTTAGAGAGAGATCAGTAACTTTACATGAATGTTTTTTTGTAGTAGTTTCACATGAAAGCATGATATTCACCAAACATCAGTACCTTAAAATCTGTGTTATTGATGCACTCAAAGACAAGTGCTGGCGTTCTAGACTGCAAAGAGAGAAGATGGGAGAATGCATCCTTGATTATTAAAAAATAAAGATGGCAGTGAGAGAGTTCTATTGTTGAGGACATCCAATCACAATACAATGAAAAAAGTCTCACACTCATATCTCTCCTTGCTTGTGGATCTATTGTCTAAATAGACTTCATTTTACATTTACAGTTTAGTCATTTAGCAGACGCTCTTATCCAGAGCGACTTACAGTTAGTGAGTGCATACATTTTAATTTTTTTTCATACTGGCCCCCCGTGGGAATCGAACCCACAACCCTGGCGTTGCAAACGCCATGCTCTACCAACTGAGCTACATCCCTGCCGGCCATTCCCTCCCCTACCCTGGACGACGCTGGGCCAATTGTGCGCCGCCCCATGGGTCTCCCGGTCGCGGCCAGCTACGACAGAGCCTGGATTCGAACCAGGATCTCTAGTTCATCAGCGTATTCTCTCATTCTAGAGTTTACCTCTAACTTTAATGATAGCAGAAAAGGAAAAGTTTGACTTACTATGACTGTGATATGTGGTTGTCTTACCTAGCTAAGATGAATGCACTAACCGTGAGAGGCTCTGGATAAGAGTCTGCTAACTGAGTCAAATGTAAATCTGTTAGTCAGCACCTCACTGTGTGGGTGCGGGCTCATCACTTCCCTTGTCATGGAGGGGAGGTCACACCCCTAAATGCAAATAAAAATGCACCCAATGGAGTACTGGAGCTGACCGGAGAGAACCATATAAATATAATCTATAGAACAGAGTACTGGGGCTGACCGGAGAGACCATAGAAATATAATCTATAGAACAGAGTACTGGGGCTGACCGGAGAGAACCATAGAAATATAATCTATAGAACAGAGTACTGGGGCTGACCGGAGAGAACCATATAAATATAATCTATAGAACAGAGTACTGGGGCTGACCGAAGAGAACCATATAAATATAATCTATAGAACAGAGTACTGGAGCTGACCGGAGAGAACCATAGAAATATAATCTATAGAACAGAGTACTGGGGCTGACCGGAGACCACAGAAATATAATCTATAGAACCGAGTACTGGGGCTGACCGGAGAGAACCATAGAAATATAATCTATAGAACAGAGTACTGGGGCTGACCGGAGAGAACCACAGAAATATAATCTATAGAACAGAGTACTGGGGCTGACCGGAGAGAACCATAGAAATATAATCTATAGAACAGAGTACTGGGGCTGACCGGAGAGACCATAGAAATATAATCTATAGAACAGGCCTCTCCTGTCAAGTCATTGATGGTATAATGGGTGGACTGCCAGCCATTGTGAGTTTACCCATAGGAGTGTTAGAGGATCTAAGCCCCTTCTAGAGATGATATTTCTATGAGAGAGACATACCACAGGATCCTTCACTGTGTCCACCAGGCGGATGATGTTGGTTCCACCACGCAGGTTCTCCAGGATCTTAATCTCTCGCTTGATCTTCTTCTTCTTGACGGGCTGAAACAGGTGATTGGTCAATCATTTCCAGACTTAGCACAACAAAAGACCCAACCAGGCAGGGTTGTATTCACTGGAACCAAACGGAAACAATTGGACCCAAACGGGGGGGGGGGAACTTAACTCTACACTAATGAATATGACCCTGTTCAACTGAAGCCAACAGAAGGCCAAGTGTTTTAGGCAGGGGACACATGTCTAGGTTGAGGGGCCGACTACCTCCATTATATACACTCCTACCAAAAAACATTCAAACACATCAAATGACAGCGGCTCACCTTGAGGATTTTAACCACCACTTTCTCATTGTTGCTGACATTGATGGCTTCAAACACCTCGCTGTATTTCCCTCTGCCCAGTTTACGTACCAACTGGTAGTTGTCCTGATTACTGCAGAGGGAAGAGCACCACAAGAGAATTATGAGAAGAGACCAGCGGGAAACGGTAAGAGCACATGAATGCAGTGTGTTATCAGACAGGATTATATACACTTAGAAGGGGATAATACACATTTACATCAGGGTTCTCCTGACTCCTGGCCCGAAGAGCAACTGGGTGATAAACAGGGCTTTTGATCAAACCCTGTAGGTTTGGAATGAAAGCCTGCACACCCAGCTCTCAAGGATTGGGAGTTGGAGAACCCTAGTAACAGTTAGTAAAACAGCTACGTCTTTCTTTACCTCCAGCTTGGCACGTGTGCATCGTAGTCCCAGTATTCCCTGCTCTTCTGCGTGTTGACATCGGTGTAGACCCGAGCTTTACTGCTGGCCGTAGGAGGGGGCATCGCGAGCTTGGACGCCCGGTGCTGATGGGGCTCACCTTCCACAACAATACTACTCTTCTTGGCGCGAAATTGGAAGGCAGTACACCGACTTTCGGAGACCCTAGATTTCGTTAACTCCGTGTAAGATGGCTTAACATTGGTTTGGGCTACTTTCGTCCGTGGTTGGTGACCGCAGTCGGCAGCACTTGCTGTGCGGATTGTCAAAGCTACGATGAGCGTGTGTCTAATGCCCCTGAACAGCCTGATTGGCGAGATGCTATGGTGGACCGCCAGTTTCAGGGAGGCGGCGGGATAAGGGGGAAAGAGGACGAGGTAGACTAACACAATTGGCAATAGGGATTCAATATCGGACAGCCAGCTAGTTACCTAACGGTATCTGGTTAGTAACTCAAATAGAGAAATGGTTTAAAAATCAATTTACGAGGCCGAGAGCTGGGCAAGCTAATTGAATTTGACAGACCCCTCTAGGATAAGCAAGATAAGTTAGCTAGTTAGCCTAGATGCTAACCAGCTAAATTGGGCCCCCAGTGTTCATCACAAGACTAACGTAAACGAATACAATAAGCCACCATCAGTACAATATCAAAACAGCAAAACTTGAGTGGCGATAATAAGTGATCTAACAATGGTCGGTTGATTTAGAAAAGACGTGAAATCAGTCTCGCTACCTGTACGTTACTGTAGAAATGATTGTCGTTAGCTAGCCTGCTAGCTAGCTAGCAGCGCACTCGGGTAGGAAGTCCAGCGACATGTATTTGGGCGCGCCGTGGCACCCTCTCCAGGGCGCAAAGTTCGAAGAAGATTCCTGAGAATATTACACTTGAAACCGCTGAATATGTTTTTGAGTCTGGCTAACGGGTTTAGCTAAGTATTCATTCTAAGAAGAGACCGTCGTTCAAGTCGTAGCTGCTGCTGCGACTCCGTTGCAACAAAAACATCACCCGGAAGTAGTCGCCAGTGACCCCCCCCCAAACGCAACATTGTAGCCACTATTCCAGTCATCGATGTAACGACCAAAAGATCACTACCGTCGCGGTTACCGGCAACATTCTGACCTGTCGGGCAGGGTTTCGTTTGAAGATATATCACAGATTTCTAACCTAGCAATTGCTTTATTGATACATAACTATATCTTATTTGACTAAGTAAATGTATATCATCCTTCTGGCAAATAGCTAGTGAAAGCCTGAAATACGTACCAAAATAGTCTCATGATCGATCTCAATATTCCCATGCAGCTTTGTTTCCTTTCAGGTGAGGTGTGTTATAATTCCACCTCAGTACCTGATAATTAAACAATGTGCGCCTTGTGGACAACATGTCCATTGGAGTATTGTGTGTTCGTCTATGATACAATTTCCTGTCTTTGTCAAGAACTTCCCGTTAGGACTAATAGTACTTTGCCCCCTCTCAAGTGTGTTAAGTTACACCGGACAGTATTTAGCAAACACAAATACTGTTATGTGAAAAGTAAAACACTAATATTGTAAGATTTGTTTATTTTGTTAGTGCAGTGTATATGAACATGATATACTGTACATATATTCAAGATTGAATGTAGCCCACACAGATTAAGCCCCACAGAACGGTGTCATCATCTAAATCTCCCAGTTGATAAAGATTGAGGGCAGCAGAAGCAGAAACACAGACCAGGACATATTTGACCAGCACTGGCATGCAGAAGGCTTAGGGCTGTCGAAGAGCATCAAAACCGGTGATGCATCATGGGGAAATTGTGACCCGACTGACTGATCTGCAAATAATATTGAGTCGTTTAATTATGATTCAAGGTGATTTGTAGATTAGTCAGTCAGTCGCGCCTTTAAAGTCTGCTACAATGTCTCTTTGTCTAGCTGCAGACAAAGTGATCGACTACCTCATCATCCCACCCAGTTCAAACGTCAACTTCTTCCCAATTAGCACCCTTTTCCCTATATAGTGCACTACTTTTGACCAGAGGCCCTCTGGGAGGAAGGGAAGGTCTATACCCCCATAGGTCTCTGGTCAAAAGTAGTGCACTATATAGGGAATAGGGTGCCATTTGGGATGCACCCACCTCATGACATTCTCACTCCTAACCTTTCAGTTTCAAATCCTCATTCCAAATACACATTGTGAGTGTACGGTTTCTTTTTTAAAATACACTATCGTAAAACAATATAAAAAAAACAACGTATAAACTTGCATACAACATTTAGACTTACTAACATAAAAGCCCTCACTGCTATTTCAGGGGCAACTGAGGAACAATTTGTGCAATCGGGACCCTAACTAGGCTGGGTTGACATGAAGACCTCCCAGGCACAAACCAAGGTCAACATGTCCAAATGGAAGTCATGATAAAGAGATTGATGTTTTTTGTTTGTTTGTTTTTTTAACACGATAACTGCTAGGTGAACCGATAACACTTTGAAATCCAGACGTAGACATTTCTGGTTTAAACAAAACCACTGGGCCGTTGTCTTACGACCAACAGTCTGCTCTGTCAGTTGAGGGACGAGCGTCGCGTAGGAGTGATGCCACCTGTCGGAAGACAACGCCACTGGACCGGAGTATGTCCTCCACACCCTTTAAGCTTAAATAAAACACAAAACAATCTCAACCCAACTTGGTAGAAAAGCAGGTAGCAGAAGCAGTTCTTCAACACATTTTGCAACCTCTACCACTAAGTTTGTTAACATGTTAGCGTGTAATATTTATGTACAAACAGTACATACAGGATTCAGAGGTTGTGAGCACGTTCGGCCAGTCCCTGTGCACGTTGACAGAGAGATACGCTATGCGTTTCTTTCTATGACATAGGGAGCCAGAGTAGTCCAGAATGTGGGGAGATATTCTCATTGACACGGTTACGGGTGTATTTGGTACATACTACAGTAGTTGCTATTCATTATAGTACAAAGATAAAATAGTTGATCTACCACAGATTTCCAAAGAGGACACAAGATATAACTTGTCACATTTTTTTCTTCTTTCTTTTTTAAGTAAACCTACGCTACTACAGTACAACAGTGATGCTAAATATAAACTGGATGGTTCGAGCCTGAATGCTGATTGGCTGACAGCCGTGGTATATCAGACCGTATTCCACGGGTATGGCAAAACATTTTTTTTTTTTACTGCTCTAATTACGTTGGTAACCAGTTTATAAGGCACCTCAGGGGGTTTGTGGTATATGGCCAATAACCACAGCTAAGGGCTCCGCGTTGCATCATGCATAAGAACAGCCCTTAGCCGTGGTATATTGGCCATATACCACACCCCCTCGGGCCTTATTGCTTAAATATACTCATGCAGAAACATATAATTTTAGGTCTGAGGGGTGGAGCTTATTGGGCATTGCTAACAGCCAGCCAGAGGGTTGAGGGGGAGGTCAACACATGGAGTGGCCAAAACTTCAACCAAACCACAGCAAAGAAATGATTTGACCATAAAGGAGTCAGAGAATAAGAATCCCCCCCCCCCCCCAAATTGCCTTAAACATTTAATTTCCCTCCATTTTTTAAAGCAACTCTTTAAGTTTTCATGTTCCAAACATGAATACATTTCCAATGCCTTTTCAGATTGTAACATCCTTTTCAAATTGCATTTTTCCTGAATCCAACAAGATGACCACAGTTGATCTGTCATGGGTAGTTGATGTACTGTTTTCAGTTGATCTGGGTCATGGGTAGTTGAGGTACTGTTTTCAGTTGATCTGGGTCATGGGTAGTTGATGTACTGTTTTCAGTTGATCTGGGTCATGGGTAGTTGATGTACTGTTTTCAGTTGATCTGGGTCATGGGGTAGTTGATGTCACTAATGAAGGACAGAACATGGGCATGATTACCTTGGTGTGAGGAAGGTGGTGTCAATAATAACTTCATGGTTAGGATTAAGTAGAGTTTTACCATTGTTTATGCAAAAGGAGGGGGGGGAGGTAATTTGGGTGTGCCACTAAATGTAAATAATGAATGTGTGGTTATATACAAACAGGGTGGCAGTAAGAGTGTTGCTGTATGCCTGGTGGGCAACATTCCATGTCACTGTGTGTTCACACTGCCCAGGGGCTCAACAGCAGCAGATCTGCTCACTGTATGCAAGGGGCCACAGGGTAACCACCTCCCTCTGCAGTGTGCTGGACCGTGTGCTCCTGGAGGGCCCCCAGGTTCACGAAACGCTCCCCGCACCACACGCACTTAAACTGGGCTTCCCGCGAGTGCACCGCCTGGTGCTTGACCAGGTGTTCCCGCTGTTTGAAGCTCTTGTCGCAGCTGGAGCACTTGTAGGGCTTCTCCCCGGTGTGAACGCGGCGGTGACGTTGCAGCTCCGAGGAATACTTGAAGCGCTTCTCGCAGTCGGGACACTTGAGGGGCTTCTCCCGGGATGGGTCGCAACGGTGTGTCACGAACTCAGACGGCGACAGGAAGCGCCGGTTGCACAGGGAGCACTTCAGCGGCTTCTCCTGGCAGCTGGAGTTCTGGTGGCGCTGGAGCGTCGACTTCTTCTTGTAGCCCTTGCCGCACACGTCACACTTGTAGGGCTTCTCCACCACCGGCGTGGCCGCGGACACGGACCCAGACGCCGACCCTGAGCCGGTGCATTTGTGCCGGAGCAGCTCACCGGATTGGCTGAAGCCCTTCTGGCAGGAAGCACACTTGAACAGGCTCTCCATGCCATGGACGTGCTGGTGGTACAGCAGGTGGGAGGGCTGCAGGAAACCCTTGTCACACAGGTTGCACTTAAAAGGCCGGTCGGCTGGGTTCTTGTGAGTGCGGCGGTGGCGAACCAGGGCATACTGCTGCTTGAAGCTCATCTGGCACTCCTCGCACTGGAACGGGCGTTCCTCGGAGTGCGTGCGTTCGTGCTGCCGCAGGTCCGAAGGCCGCTTGAAGCCCTTCCCGCACGAGCCGCAGCGGAACGGCCTGTCCGAGGTCACCGTGGGCTGGCACTGGTGGTGCAGGAGCTCCGACGACTCCTTGAAGTGCATCTCGCACAAATTGCACTTGAACAGGTGCTCGCCGGAGTGGGCGTACATGTGGCGCACGAGGTGCGAGCGGTGCTTGAAGCACTTTTCGCAGACGGCACACTTGTAGGGCCGCTCGGAGCTGTGGGTACGCTGGTGATGGGCCAGGTGAGAGGACTGGCTGAAGCTCTTATCACAGGTGTCACACTTGTAGGGCTTTTCTCCTGTGTGCACCCGCTCGTGTCGCGACAGCTCAGACAGATGCCGGAAGCCCTTGTGGCACACTGAGCACTTGTAGGGCCTGTCTGGTCCCGAAGCCTCAAACGCCGTAGGGGCCGAGGCTCCGCACGCTGCCCCGCCACTGGAAGCTTCGCCGGTGGACGGGTTGGCGGCGGAGGAGGTGGGGGTGTTGTTCCCAGAGCCCGGACGGTAGGTCTTCTCACAGATGGAGCACTTCATGGGGTTGTTGCCGTTGTTGTGGGCGTTGTGGTGCTGCGCCAGCGAGGTGAGCAAGGAGAAACCCATCTTACACACGCCGCACACAAACGGCTTCTGCTCCACCTGCACACACTGATGCTCCAACAGATCAGTGGCCTGGCTGAAGATCTTCATACACTGTGTACACTGGAACGACCGATCCCCGCTCCCCATGCACTGGTGCTCATGTGGATTAGCCAGGTGTGATATGTCGTGGCCGCAGGCCCCGCACTTGTGCCCTCCCTCGCCCCCTACCTGTAGGGAGGGCTGCTGGGCGGGTACGGTATGCTGCTGCTGGAGGGAGGCCCCATCCGTCTGGAGGACGATCCCGTACACGGCACAGCCCAGGGCACTGTCGGAGCCCGGGGGGAGGTTGTGCACCACGGTGGGTGGTGGGGCCACTGCGTGCTGCTGCTGCCACGCCTCAGTCATCCTGCTGCTTCGCTCGTATGGATTCAGTTTTGACTGTGTGAGAGGGGAGGCCCAGGAGTATCAAGTAAGGCCCGTCTATTTGGGCAGGTTTTGGTTGGGCTGGCGATGTCCAACACGGGGGGGGGTGTGTTCTCTACCCGGCTCTCAACGACGAAGATTGTTGGTCTGTTATCAATAGGTGATGCGCCTCTGGTTGTCCACTAGTAAAAGGGCAGAAACCCTACAGAGGGAAAGACAAGAGGGGGAATGAACATGACGCAAATGTAGCCTATACATATTTGATACAATAGATCCGTGCATATGCATTGTTTTTAGCTGCAACGCAATGGTTTTATCAAATCTGTGTTATTAGTGCTCTTAAAATGACTGGCATTCTACCGTGTATTAGGATTTTATACATTTCGAGATGGGCATAGATAGGGTACAGCAGGGTTCTTCAATTCCGGTCCTGGAGGGCCAAAACACCTCTGTTTTTCATCCTCTCCTTCTAATCAGGGGCTAATTCAGACCTGGGACACCAGGTGAGTGCAATTAACTACCAGGTAGAAATAAAAAAAACAGAAGTGTTTCGGCCCTCCAGGACCGGAATTGAAGAACCCTGGACTACAGCTTAAAAGTTAGCTACAGATTTTAAAACCAGATAATGTGATTCAATACAAAAAAAAATGTTGATCATTACACTGGTAGTTACAGGTGTGTGTACAAAACGTCACCAGAGATTTTTCAACTAAACTGGTATTGGCGATACTATCTTCGTCCTCGATTAATGGATACAGGTGGAGTCTCATAAAATGTTTGTGTCCAGTTGCAGGGGGTCCGTTTGAATTTAGAAAATGCTCAGTTATTAAAATAAATAAATTGTTCTACATGAAGTAATCCAACAATATATACGCCGCCATTTTGTCTATTTCAAGTCTTCTCTCATTGATCGAGCCAGGTGTCTGTCATCATGACATGCGGCACCACCTGTCTCAACCAATGAGAGAAGATTTGAAAAAGACAAGATGGCGGTGTACACATTGTTGGATTACTTCATGTAGCAAAACACATATTTATTTTAACAATGGAGCATTTTCTAGATTCAAACGGACATTTTATGAAACTCCTGTTTCCATGAGTCGAGGACGACAGTGACCCAAGTCATAAACTGTTCTCTCTGCTAACCGCACAGCAAGCGGTACCGGAGCGCCAAGTCTAGGTCCAAAAGGCTCTTTAACAGCTTCTACCCCCAAGCCACAAGACTGCTGAGCAATTAATCAAATGGCCACCCAGACTATTTACATTGACCCCCCCCCCCCCTTTGTTTTTACACTGCTGCTACTCACTGTTTATTATCTATGCAGTCACTTTACCCCTACCTACATGTACAAATTACCTCGACTAACCTGTACCCCCCGCACATTGACTCGGTACCGGTACCCCCTGTATATAACCTCGTTATTGTTATGTCATCTTATTGTGTTTCTTTTTATTTTATTTTTTACTTTAGTTTATTTAGTAAATATTTTCTTTACTCTATTTCTTGAACTGTAGCCACACCTGTAACTACCTGTATAATGGTCAAATTGTGAGGAGTTAAATCACATTATCTGGTGTTACAATCTGAGAGGAGATTGCAGCAGATGGTTTGAGTTCTCTTTACATATGAACAACAGCATCCTTCTTCGAATAGCAACAATATCACTACTAGTTACCTGTATAGCTAACTAGAGATGCTGAGACTAGGTCCAGTCACTAAAATGACACTGAACTACATTTTCTCCAACTAAAACGTTCAGTACAGAATGTGGCTATACAAATTACCTATTAAATTATGCCAAGTTAAAACTGGGTGCAAGATAATAAGCTAGCTAGTTAATATTTGGTCTGCAGCCACATATTTACGAGACACATAGCATTAGCTAGCTAGTTAGCGAACCAATTTACGTGGGTTTGCTTACTAGCTAGTTAGCATGGCTAGTCGGTTTGCAAAAGCAGATGGCTAATCTCAAAAGATTTCCCCCGAATTTATCATTACAATACATAACTAATGTCTAGGCATATAACGTCACCGGCAACAAGCAGCACAGCTGTTGTAGGCTAACGTTACTGCCTGCCTGCGAAAAGACCAGATGGCTAACTACCTAGCTAGCTAGTTCAGGGGGAAAAATTGAAACGTCGAGAGGCCCATCGATGGTCTCCGATTCTTCTAGCCCCCGACCTAGGCCGCCCATTTGCACCCACTTTTCAGAAAGCGCCGTAATTCATTTTCATGCAATCATAAATACAACATTTAAAAAAAAAAATGTAAACACGGTTAACAGCTTACATTTCGGTATGGCTCTCAATCATTGAGTCAACCTCTTCCTCTGGAGCCAGGACAGGAGTCGACCTTCGAGAAATATTTGGCTACGGCTAGCGGAGGACGGTGGCGAGAGGAGGGCGAAACGCCATCCACTATTAATGTACACCGGAAATCTCCTCAGCCTGCATAGTTGCATCACTCCCCACGGTGTTTATTCAAATGTTATAGCTAGATTTTCCCCTTCTGTATCATGATGCAAGGTTGTCCTTCTTTTCACAGTCATCCAACCGTTCTCCTTCAATTTTGCATAACTCTGGTGTATAATTTAAACGCATTGTAAAGTCAAATTCTAATTTAATTACTAATTGGAGCACTATGAACATTGATACACACCAGGCTACTGTAGCTGTAATCAGAATATGTACAGAATGATGCACATATTTCATATTCCTGGATGGATAGGGGTGGGAGTTTAGGGTATGGGTGGGAGTCACGGCACCAATGTGACTGATTTGAGTTTTAATGTTCTCTGATCTGAGTAATCTGATCCACAATTAATCTATTACTGCAAGAATAAGATTAAAAAGGATGCAACACAAATAAAATAAAGGTTAAACTGGCCTCCTGTAGCTCAGTTGGTAGAGCATGGCGCTTGCAACGCCAGGGTTGTGGGTTCGATTCTCACGGGGGGCCAGTATGGAAAATTCGCTGGATAAGAGCGTCTGCTAAAATGACCCCCCCCCCCCCCCCCCCTCCAAAAAAAAAAAACTGTAAAAACGGTGAATTATATAGTATGTCAAGTACAGTAAAATTACACACTGCACACGTTTACATAGTACTTACAATCAGTTGTGTGTATTTACAATGAAACTGACATGCAGGCAGCATTATGAGAAAAATTGAAATGTGTTGAAATGTCCCCTAGCTGGTTTTAGAGACTTGGGCGTGCGCAGTACGGAGGAACGGTAAACGTTCCGACTGATGCACAGACACTATGGAGGCTCGAGTCTAGAGGGCCTGGTTAAATTGTAAGAGCATTTTCCAACTCTAAATGGTTAAATTAGTGCGACATAGACGTCGTTGTTGCAATAGTTTGTGAGTGGGCAACATATACTGTCATCTTAAAATTACATGTTGAATTATTTAGCCATATTAAATGATTGTATATTGCGCTAATGTCCCTAATGTGGACAGTTTATGTTACTACTTTACACAAGGCTTGTATTTTCACCCCATAAAATGTTGTGGAATTACACATCCTTTATACCTCAGACTGGTGATGTTAGTATAAAAGTTTATATCCATCACGATGATATAAGATTGATTACTTAAAACAGATCAATCAATATATTTTGTTTTGTACTGTAACATTTTGTCACACACGCTGGGATGCGCAGGATTTACAACGCGGAGTTAATGAAATGGCACGGAAAATTGGGGACAGTCCCGCTATAAAAGTCGCTGGCCACAAACCAATACATTCATTTGACAATCAAACTATCGTTGTCACTGTTGATATCTTATGCCGTTTAAAATAACTAACAGAAAAAGTGGTCTGTTCCCTTTTCGTTAATGGCAGCCTCCCGAAGTTGCAAATCAACATCCGACATTCCAAAATATAATGTTAGATTGAAGCCTTCTACAAGTTCTCATCCAACCAACCATGTATAGGTTTTTCCAAGTTTCCATGTGGCCTTGGAATGGTGTTAGTTTAAACAGCGCTCCACCCCAAAACGTTTACCCCCTCGTCTATTGATTTTAGCGTGATATCGATGAAGTTATTAACAATAGAAGTGTTGCGTTACACTTACCGCGTTGGCCAACCACTTGAATCAAAATGCAACACTTTAAACATGGTGCTAGATGTCTTCTACAAATTCTCTTCTAACCTGTGCCGTACACATTATTCCCAGATTCCGTGCGGTTTTTGAGCTGTGTTAGTTTAAACATGACTCGAAACCTCATCTCTCTCTCTCTCTCTCTCGCATTTGATTTCAATGTCATATGAGTGATTGACAAATAAGTGCGTGTTGCGTTTCACTTTCCGTTTTGGCGACCCAAAATGTAGCGGTCTGTCTTCTGCAGGTTGATCTCTAACCATGTAAAAAATATATCCAGTTTCCATGTGGGTTTTTTCTACAACCTGATTTCCCCCCTAATCGACATCAGTGAATTATTGCCACGGTTTTTGGTGCGTGTGCAGTTTATAAGTTGCTCGTAAAAAAAATAAATACAAGTAATATGTTTACTATTGTTGCACATGTATGTGTAGATAGTACATTGTATGTTTAGGTTTTCAATATATCACGAACTGCTTCTGCATATTGGTTATTGATTTGGACAGTTAAAACCGTGTTTTGACATTGGGCTATTTATCAAAATGTCCAACCATCGTCTTATCAATTTAAGTTTTAGGAATATAAACTGAACTATCAACTTTAATTTCCAATGATATTGTACTTAATCAGGTAAAAACAGCTGAATGAGTCCAAAAACGTGCTGCGTTGGAATGATTTTGACGATCTACCAGAAATCCCAGGTTTGCCCTGCCGCCCCTCCTGCCTGGTACAACCCTCAGCAGACTCTAATATGTGGACGTAGCAGACGGTTACTTCAAAATGGTAGAAAAGTCACTTTGTAGTTTCCACTCCCAGTCCAGTCCACGCAGCACCACCATACCAACAATAACTTCTTCAACTTTTAGCTAGCTAGCTACTGGACAGGACTACTTAGCTAGCAAACTTTTTGTAGGTTTTCACCTCGCAATATTCATGAATGTTTGAATAGAAGTTTGAAGAAATCTTTCTCAACATGTCAAGTTTGAAGAATCGACACTCGAAGTCGTCGGTGGAATCAGGCGTCCACGAAGAAAACCTCCAGGTTACAGAACATAAGGTTTCTCCGATGGAGGGCAGTGCGCTCACAAACCCAACTGGCAGAAAGACGAGTAAAATTGGCAGCAACTCCGGGGAGAACACAGTTGAACTGAAAAGAACTATAAATCTATTGAATGGCGTTGCTATCATTGTGGGTAGCGTAATCGGTTCGGGGATATTCGTGACACCCATCGGGGTAGTGAAGGAAGCTGGTTCTGTCGGACTGTCGTTGATCATTTGGGCTGTGTGTGGGTTGTTATCTACAGTGGGGGCCCTGTGCTATGCTGAATTAGGGACCACCATCTCCAAATCTGGTGGAGATTATGCCTACATTCTTGAGGTCTATGGGTCTCTTCCTGCATTCCTAAAACTCTGGATAGAACTGCTGATCATCCGCCCTTCTTCTCAGTACATCGTTTCTTATGTATTTGCTACTTATTTACTCAAACCCGTCTTCCCGTGCTCTCGAGTACCAGAAAATGTAGTTAAATTGGTCGCCTGCCAGTGTATATGTAAGTCAGTTTGCTTTGTGAGATGCATATCTTCTCTCAGCTATGGACTGTGAATGAACCTATGTTGAACCTGTATTTCCTGTCTGCTTACATCGACTACTAATCAAATTCCATGCTTCATAAACGACAGGTGTAGATAGACTAACAGTGAAACGAGTACTTACGGGTCCTTACCAACAATGCTGAGAGAAAGAAAGTAGAGAAATAATAGAAAAAAATAAAATAATATTAATAATAATAAAATAATAAAAATAATATAAAAACATGTAATAATAAATATACAATGAGTAACGATAACTAGGCTATATACACGGGGTACCATCCGAGTCGATGTGCAGGGGTGCAAGGTAATTGAGGTAGATCTGTACATATTACTAGGAATAAAATGACAGATAATAAACAGTATCAGCAGCATATGTGATGAGTCAAAAAATGTTAGTGCTAGAAGGGTCAATGCAGATTGTCCGGGTAGCTATTTGGTTAACTATTTAGCAGTCTTATGGCTTGGGGGTAGAAGCTGTTTAGGGCCCTGTCGATGTGAATGGGGGCGTACTTGGCCCTCTGTTTCCTGTAGTCCACGCTCCTTTCTCTTGCTGATGTTGAGGGAGAGTTTGTTGTCTCTGACCTCCCTATAGGCTGTCTCATCGTCGTCGGTGATCAGGCCTAACACCGTAATGTCGTCGGCAAACTTAAGGATGGTGTTGGAGTCGTGCGGGGCCACGCAGTCATGGGTGAACAGGGAGTACAGGAGGGGAATAAGCACGCACCCCTGAGGGGCCCCCGTGTTGAGGGTCAGCGTGGCGGATGTGTTGTTGCCTACCCTCACCACCTGAGGGCGACCCATCAGGAAGTCCAGGATCCAGTTGCAGAGGGAGGTGTTCAGTCCCAGGGTCCTTAGCTTAGAGATGAAGTTGGAGGGAACTATGGTGTTGAATGCTGAGCTGTAGTCAATTAACATCATTCTCACCTAGGTGTTCCTCTTGTCCAGGTGGGAAAGGGCAGTGTGGAGTGCAATAGAGATTGCGTCATCTGTTGGGGCTGTATGTGAATTGGAGTGGGTCCAGGGTGTACGGGATGATGGTGTTGATGTGAGCCATGACCAGCCTCTCAAAGCATTTCCTGGCTCCAGATGTGAGTGTTACGGGGCGATAGACATTTAGACAGGTCACCTTGGCGTTCTTGGGCACAGGGACTATGGTGGTCTGCTTGAAACATGTAGGTATTACAGACTGGGTCGGTGGGAGGTTGGAAATGTCAGTGAAGACACTTGCCAGCTGGTCAGTGCATGCTCTGAGTACTCGTCCAAATATCCCAGCTAGCACAATGAGTGCTTGTTTCCTTTTGAAATGGGGTCTGTTTGAATAGAATCAAATAAACAGCTTTTTATCCGCAAAAAAAAAAAAACATGGCATGCTAGCTCCATCCTGGTGGCACAGTGGACTAATTCCATGGATAGAGAACAGAAGATCGTAGGTTGGAATCTCACTGATGCCGTGTCACAATAAAACATGTGGTTGCATGATTAATGCCTAAGGAAATGTCCGTGTGTCCTATCTGTGCTGGGAGTTAAACACAGTTAACCCCAAAAATGAGCTATCAGTGTTATTAAAAGTCTTATTGAAACGTTCAGGCTTCGTTCCCAGAACCAATGGAAACCAAAAACCTACGCTCCCACAACTTCCAAGGAACCAGATGTGCTAGCTGGGGATGGTCACATGGTTGTAAAGTTCAGGAAGTGAATGTGTCTCAGTCTCACTCAGGTTGGCATAAGGACAGGATTCCACTTTCACTTTCCACTTCCTTTTCTCAGGGTCAGAATCTTCAGCTCTGGTGTATTTGTATTTATTATGGATCCCCATTAGTTCCTGCCAAGGCAGCAGCTACTCTTCCTGGGGTTTATTATAGATCCCCATTAGTTCCTGCCAAGGCAGCAGCTACTCTTCCTGGGGTTTATTAGGGATCCCCATTAGTTCCTGCCAAGGCAGCAGCTACTCTTCCTGGGGTTTATTATGGATCCCCATTAGTTCCTGCCAAGGCAGCAGCTACTCTTCCAGGGGATTATTATGGATCCCCATTTAGTTCCTGCCAAGGCAGCAGCAACTCTTCCTGGGGTTTATTATGGATCCCCATTAGTTCCTGCCAAGGCAGCAGCTACTCTTCCTGGGGTCCAAACACATTAAAGCACTTACATTACATATAAAACAAAATATAAAACAGTACATCATATAACATTATTACACCACAACATATCTACAATACAACATCTATAATACCACCATACAACAATATGACAATGTAGGTGTGTGTAGAGTGTGTGTGCTAGCGTATGTGTGTGTCTGTACCTGTGTGTCTCTTCACAGTCCCCATTGTTCCATAAGGTGTATTTTTACCTGTTTTTTTAAAGTCTGATTCTACTGCTTGCATCAGTTACCTGATGTAGAATAGATTCTTTGCTCTATGTAGTACTGTGCGCCTCCCACTGCAAACGGATGCCCTTAGGACAGCAATTATTCTAGCCAGGTGGAAGGAACCAGCTGTCCTGTCTGATTGCTGTGTTCACCATTTTGTTTTACTGTGAAATGAAATAGAATGGTGAACACAGCGATCAGGCTGGTTCCAACAGGCTAGCAATTCTCCCCTAACCTGTGGAATAAACGTGTCTCTGTGTGTCTGTGTGTCTGTGTGTCTGTCTGTGTGTCTGTGTGTCTGTCTGTCTGCCTGTGTCTGTGTGTCTGTCTGTCTGCCTGTGTGTGTGTGTGTGTGTTCCAGTGCTCTTGACAGCAGTGAACTGCTGGAGTGTGAAGGCTGCCACGCGGGTCCAGGATGTCTTCACTGCAGCCAAGCTCCTCGCTCTGGTACTCATCATCATCCTCGGCTTTGTGCAGATTGGCAGAGGTGAGAAGTAGACACACACACACACAGACACACACACACAGACACAGACACACACACAGACACACACACACACACACACACAGACACAGACAGACAGACCGAAGTGCTAGATACACACACACACACACACACACACACACACAGACAGACCGAAGTGCTAGATACACACACACACACACACACAGACAGACCGAAGTGCTAGACACACACAGAAGTGTTGAATAAGAGGTTTTGTTGCAATCTGTCAGTGATATCTTCTTAATCTGTCAGTCCACTCACAAACTTTCTGATCTTTTCAGGAGGGACGGAGCGTCTTTGGCCAGAGAACGCATTCGAAGGGACAAGGATGGACGTTGGCAGCTTTGGGTTGGCCATGTACAGTGGGCTGTTTGCCTACGGAGGCTGGTAGGTAGGGAGGAGGAGGCCGCTAGGTAGGGAGGAGGGAACAGAACTAGTGTTTGGCATAACTCCGTGTCCGGCTCCCAGACCCAAATTAAACCTACTCCTGGACTACAAAAACACTTTACCTGCTTCTTAGTCTGGTCCAGTGTCCATGTATTTATTATTAACATTTTAAACCGTTCAAATGTGTGTCTAGTTTGAATAAATAACACGCATGTAAAAGTAAGCTAGGTGAATGAAGAGGTCACCTGTAGACATGATGAATGCAGCACTGTTCATAATGATATAGGCCTACTGTCTGTCTGGCATCTCTGGTAGTTTTTTATTTTTTTTTGTCATTTTGCAGACGCTCTTAGCCAGAGTGACTTACATATATATATTTTTTCATACTGGCCCCCCGTGGGAATCGAACCCACAACCCTGGCGTTGCAAATGCCATGCTCTACCAACAGTTGTTCATAGTGATATAGGCCTACTGTCTGGCATCTCTAGTACAGTTGTTCATAGTGATATAGGCCTACTGTCTGTCTGGCATCTCTAGTACAGTTGTTCATAGTGATATAGGCCTACTGTCTGGCATCTCTAGTACAGTTGTTCATAGTGATATAGGCCTACTGTCTGTCTGGCATCTCTAGTACAGTTGTTCATAGTGATATAGGCCTACTGTCTGGCATCTCTAGTACAGTTGTTCATAGTGATATAGGCCTACTGTCTGTCTGGCATCTCTAGTACAGTTGTTCATAGTGATATAGGCCTACTGTCTGTCTGGCATCTCTAGTACAGTTGTTCATAGGGATATAGGCCTACTGTCTGGCATCTCTAGTACAGTTACATTAAACAATTATTTTAATTTGTTTTTTTCACAGGAATTCTTTGAATTTTGTGACAGAAGAGATGATCGAGCCATACAAGTAAGTCACCTGTAGTGCACTATATATAAGGTATACTAGGGTACCATTTCACGATCTCTCTTCGCAGTCCCAAAGTCAGTCGCTACTTCATAGTGATACTGGTCATGACTAGGGATGACTCCTATTTCAGATTCCCCTCATCCGTTTCACCTGTACTACCATGGTGACGGGGAAGGAGGAAGTTTACCCTTGACCTTTCCTTGACCCTTGTGGTGTGTATCTGCAGGAACCTGCCGCGTGCCATAAAGATCTCCCTGCCCATGGTGACGGTGGTGTATGTCCTCACTAACCTGGCCTACTTCACCACCCTCAGCCCTGAGGAGATGGTGGCTTCAGAGGCCGTGGCAGTGGTGAGACTACCAGCATGAAGTTACTCACTCACTGTAGGCCACACACACACACCACACACACAAAACACAACACACACCACACAAACACACAAAAACCCCCAAAACCCCACCACACACCCCACACAAGCTTCCCCCAACTCCAATTAACGTGGGGCCTGCAGGACTTTGGGAACACCACCCGGGTGATGGCCTGGACACCCTGTGTTTTGGGAGTTTTTTTGGCTCCGTCAAAGGATCCTCTTCACCCCAGGTACATACCACACACACCCCCACACACGCACAACCACCCCCTCACGCCCGCTGACCTAAAAAAATAACCTTTAAAGCAATCCACAGGGCAACTTACATGTGGTGGGTGGTACCTGTTTTAAGAGCTTCCTCCGTCTTTAGGGTTTTTTTTGGTTGGGGGGGGGGGGGCACGGGGGGTCCTGCCCCTTGTTGCCTTGTCCCACCCCCATCTGGCCCCTCAGCCTTCATTTTATTTTACGTGGTTGTATTTTTTTTCCCTTTTCCAGTATAATACGGTGTGTAGTTCTTCTCTCTATCTAAATTTTTATATATTTTTTTTTCTTTTCCTTTCTTTTTTTTTTCCCTTTTTTTTGGATAATGAGGTTGTTGTTTTTGTTTTTTTGTTTGTCCTAAAGCTCCCTTTTTTTTAATCCTACCCCCTTTTCTTCCCCTCTTCGGCATTGCTCTTTTTCTTTGTGTTGTTATTTTCTCTTCTCTAAGTGCATAAAAGACGGGTGGGATGTTTTCTCTCTCTCCAGTGCAAATGACGGTGCTTTTAGTTTCCTCCTCTCGGGGGATTTAAAGACGGTGTGATGTTTTCTCTTTTCTAGGGGTAATGCGGTGCTGTATGTTTCCCTTTTTTCTTCTCAGGGCTAATGGGGGGTGCTGTATGTTCTCCTCTCCTTTAGGGGATAATTCGGTTTTCTTTTATGTTTTCTCCTCTTCCCAGGGCAAAAATGCCGGTGCTGATGTTCTCTTTTTTCCCCCCTCTTCTTAGTGATAAAGACGTGCCCGTATGTTTTCTTCTTCTTTTTTTTCAGGGCTTTTTAAGAGGGGGCGGGGGCCCCCCCGTTTT